TGGCGTTGAGTATGAGGCCTTCCTTGGACCACCAACCGCTCCATTTTGTGATCACTTCGATGGATATGGCCAAAGAACTTTAAAATTCTAGAGTAAACGGTACTGGAGAGACGTTGATCCGGTTTAATTTCATCCAGAACCGAGATATTTGTACGGCGAGCCGTCCATGGAATTCGAAGCAGGCGTCTCCATGTCCACATTTCAAAGGCGTCTATACGTCGTCGATCTGATTCTTTGACTGTCCATGTCTCGCATGCATAGTAAAATATGGAAAAGACCTAGAGTTGAAACGAGTCTCTTTTTGTTTGTCATAGTAATGTGACGATCACGCCAGACCCCGTTTAGTTCACTCATTGCTGCTCTTGCTAGTTGAATGCGTCTTCTAATTTCGGATTCACAACTGCCTGTGTTGTTAACTAGAGCTCCAAGATATATCATAGATGAGACTACCTCGCATCCCGCAATAGTTTGGGTTTCAGGAAACTGTTGTTGGCGATCAATAACCATGATTTTGGTTTTGTTGTAGTTAACCATGAGTCCAAATTTAGCACTTTCTACCTCGAGTTTTTTTAATAATCTAGTAATTTCTTCTGGAGTAGAGGCTAGAAGTGTAGTGTCGTCTGCGAAACGCAAGTTAGATATCTTAACACCACCTAGGTTTCTCTTACATATCTCTGGTAAGATTTGTATATCTCTTACATATCTCTGGTTCCAACATGGTCAAGTTGGAAACTCGTATGTCTATTTATAAACATCGTTCGCCGTTGGCTTTCGGTTCCGTTCAAGATGAACCAGCTATATCTTTTGCCTTTGGCCATGGTAGCACAGAATACACCAACCCTTCTGTGGTTGTAGTCACGATCACAGAACATAAAAAACTGTATCTTTGTCATTTATTACTATGTAATTAATTGTTTGATAATCGAAAACTGCTGACAACTAAATATTGGAACAACCCCCTCTGTGGCTCAGTGATAAGAGCGCCTACCTTTAAATCTAAAGGTCGTGAGTTCGAATCTCATCTGGGTGGAAATTTTCGTTTATTAAAAATTAATAAATGAAAATAATTTCTATCCTTGTGCGATCGGTACTCACCAGAGGGACCGCAGACGTTCGGATACAATTAGCGTCTCTTAGCAAAGATAATGACGTCGACTTTGCTAAGTATCAAGACAATTACTCTACACACACACACTACACTAGGTACCTGACTGTACCATGCCAATGATCATAGTTGTCGAGGCATTAACCCAATAAAAAAAAAATAATATTGGAACATTTTTTGCTTTTCCTCATGTTTCTTAAATTTTATCAGCTTGACAGAAAGAAGACTTTGAAATTAAACATAGAGTAGGTAGTGCGTTGTCAACAATAATTTCCATGGTTCATTTGAGTATGGATAAAGACAACTGTCAGTTTTATTACGAGTAAACTATAATAATGGAACGAGGAAACCCTACTGATCCGAAAGTTCGAGAAATTATTATTCATCAGGACCGTGAAGGAAAAACAATGCGTGAAATTTTCAGCGAATCGACTCTAGCAACAACTACGGTGTTTAATATAATTAATAAATATGGCGAAACTGCCAGTATTAATGTTTGCAGCAAAAGCTCAGGCCCACCAAAAGCTGTTTCTCAAAGGAGTATAAGCATTTAATTCGAATATAATTCATCTAATTTACTTACCATTGCACGTCATCCGCGTTATAGCACGTGAGGTCACATGATACCAACACGAAATATTTAGACGGTAGGTGTGTTATTTTTTAGAATCACTTTGCCGAGTACACTGGCATTACAGCCACTAGACATATTTTATTATATACGCGTAGAAATAATATTTAAAGATTTCTATTAATGTTAACTTAAAGAAATGCACAATAATATGTTTTATTTAATTTTTATAAATGCATAGAAAGCGTTTTTATTAAGAACAATTGTTCGGAACACATTGTAACTGTATTTGAACGAAGGTGATATTTTGGCATAAATTGGTAACACTTATTTGGCAGGAAATAATCAAATACAGTGGAACTATAAAAGCGTACTGGGCTCAATTAGAATCTCTGTATCTTTCCAATGGTCTATTATATCGAAAGTGGGAAAGTCCCGATGGAGTACGTATAGTTCAACAAATGGTACTGTTGAAATCACACATTAAAAGTGTGTTGTAAGAACTTTATAGCAGCCTTTCTGGAGGACATTTTGGAGTCAAAAGAACACTGGTCAGAGTTCGAGACAGATTTTACTGGATCAATTGTCGCCGAGATATAGAAGATTGGTGTAGGAAATGCGATTTATGTAATGGTAAAAAAGGCCCTAGAACAAGAAGTCTTGGTAAAATGGTACAATATCTTTCCGGAGAGCCCTTTAAACGACTTGCAGTGGATATTCTTGGTCCATTTCCGATGACAGAGAGAGGAAACAAGTACTTAATGGTCGCAATGGATTATTTTTCAAAATGGCCTGAAATTGTACCCCTTCCTAATCAAGAAGCGACTACAGTAGCAGAAGCATTTATAACACACGTCGTATCAAGACATGGAGTTCCTTTAGAGTTACATTCTGATCAAGGACGAAATTTTGAATCAGAATTATAGCAAGAATTAATAAAAATCTTGGGTATTAAGAAAACTCGCACTACGTCTCTCCATCCTCAATCAGACGGAATGGTCGAAAGACATAATAGAACTGTTTGTCAATACCTTTCAATATTTGTCTCTGATAATCAAAAAGATTGGGATAGTTTAATTCCTCTATTCCTGTTAGCCTATAGAAGTTCCGAACATGAAGCAACTGGTTATTCTCCATCAATGATGATCACCGGAAGAGAAATGAAGCTTCCTCAAGATCTTATTTTTGGAAGATTGCCTCCCTGCGAAGAAGAACGTTCATCCCCGACCTACATTGAAAATTGAAAGAAAAATAAAAAAAGTACGAATTTGCTCGTAAAAGTTTGAAGCTTCAAAGTGATAAATCCAAGGCCAGGCTCAACATCCATGCTACTGGTACAACTTTCGCAAGAGGTGACCTAGTATGGTTATACAATCCCACTCGTAACTGGTAACTTTGTCCGAAACTGGGAAGGCCCGTATACCGTCCTGCAGAAAATAAATGATATAATCTATCGCATCCAGTTTTCAGCTAGAAGTAAACCCAAGGTAGTGGGAGGAAGCAGTGTTACAAAAGATTTATCCCACATAGGAAAAGTCCATTGACGAGAAAGAAGTAGTTTGAGAACATTCAAGATGACATCGAAAATTCTTTAAATGTCTAGTGAAGTTTGGAACGTCAGAAAATATATATATATATATATATATATATATATATAGATATATATATATATATATATATATATATATATATATATATATATATATATATATATATCAATGGAAATCAATGTGTTAGAGAGAGAAGTACTTTTGTAGAGAGTAAGAGTAAGAAAGATATATGACGTCACGTCGAAGGAATCTACATTAACGACTGTCATAGTTCAGCTATCCGCTAGTTGGCGTCGCTTTAATTCAATTTTAAATTAAAAAATTAAATAAATTAAAAATTTTAAACAATATATATAAAGACTTTTGCTTTGAAATTTTTTATTAGAGACCCTCCTTTTGGATACGTTTTGTTTTTTTTTGTTTCGGTTCTATTCAGAGTCTCCATTGCAGCAGCTTCAAATCTCACAATATTTTTTCTATTTTTATCGATTTTTTTGGTTTTGTTTTCGAAGAGAGTCAAGTTGTGTATAGCAAGTTATTGTTTTAGATGGATCTAACAAAAATAAATGCCGTGTCTTCCATTACAGAGAAAAAAGCAAAACAAATAAAAAAGTGAGTGATTTAGCTCCTAATACACCAATGAAAATAGTAGCAGCCAAGCTGGTTAAGGGAAAGTTCAAAAAACAAATTCTGCTGGAACTAGAGGAGGACGTGGTATTCCTACCAGATCGAGTGACGGAAGTGTATACTCCATTCATCTCCGAATTTATAAGCAAGAAGTACTCAATAGTATTTCGAGAACTCGTTAATATTGGGTTCCGCCATCCAGCGACAAAATTTGAAATAATTGAAGACTAGATCTTAGAATAAAATAAAGGGTAAGTGATTTTTTTTTAAGCCATACATATTATATTATATAGAAATGATTAAGGAAATAGTTAGACAGGCTGATAATCTAATATTGACTATTAAAAAACTTCGTAAGGTAATTTTCGATAAATTTACTGAAATTGATGCTACAGTTTGGTTAAAGCGGTTAAATACACATATTTGCAAATATAATAATATAATTAAAGCTAAAAGATTACCTATTGGAACTGTTAGAAAATTGCAAACTAACGTAGGACATTTTAAACATTGTCGAAGAATAATTTTAAATTTCAATTGGCATGTAGGTCTAGGACTTAATTCAAAATTTCGGACTAGAGTAAAATGGGAAAATGTCATTTTATGTTTTGCAAGTCATATTAAGACAGGAATTATAATAAATTTATATCATAAGAATGTAAAACCGTTTTTGGATGATGCTTTTACCTTATTTAAACAAAAAATTAAAACTCTTTTGAAAACTAATAGAATACATAAATTCAATACTACTTTGTGCGGGGAATTTATTAAAAAGACAGGTGACCGTGAGAGTTTAGATTTGGGGTATTTTCACACTAAAAATGCCATTATGCGTCGAGCATGAATAAATATCAAAAATGGTGATAAAAATGGCTTTTATTGGTCAATAATTAGCTCTCTCTACCCAGCTAAAATAAAAGAACTTACATCGTCATATCCATATTACAGTACTGTGTTGAACACGGAGGACTTGGAAGCTCCAATGCCTTTGAGTCATATCAGAAAATTTAAAAAAATTAATGGTATATCAGTGAACGTTTATGCTTTGGAATTAAATCAAGTTAAGGAAAAACAATTTTACGATGTAGTGCCTGCTAGGCTTACACAAAACAAGCTTGATAGACATGTAAATTTGCTTCTTATTCAGGATAAATATTTTCCAAAGTTAAATGATTACGATGCTCCTCCTAATGACGATAAAAATATTGTAATAAAATATCATTATTGCTGGATTAAAGATATGTCTAGGTTGTTAAGTTTTCAGTTAAGTAAGTATAGAAATAAAAAATATATTTGTGATCGCTGCATGAACTATTTTTCTAGCGAGAACAAACTAGCGGAACATCAAGAGTTCTGCAGAGACATAAACAAATGTAAAATGACTGTTCCCAAATACGATTATGTTGCTTTTAGAAATTTTACATACAAAAAAACCACTCCGTTTGTCATATGCTTATTTTGAATGCCAGTAACATAATTTTATAGATTCTTATGTAAAACTGAGCAAAACAGCAAAATACCAAAGGCATGTACCTTATAGTGCAGGCTATTACTTTAAATGTGCTTACGATGACAGCTTATCATATTTTAGAAGCTACAGAAGTGAAAATTACATGGAGTGGTTTGCAAAAGAAATGAATGAAATATCCAAATTTGCCAATTCTAAGATAAAATCAATTGTACCTATGGTTGAAAAGCCCAGTCCACGTGAGACAACTGTCTGTCATATTTGTGAGAAACGCTTTTCAGGTACAGATATAATTGTTGTAGATCATGATCATTTTACCGGACAGGTAAAAGGATTTGCACACCAAGCATGCAATTTAAACTTAAAAAAAAACTTTGCTGTGCCAGTAGCCTTTCATAATTTTAGTGGATATGACTCACATTTCATGATTACCGATTTAAAAAAAACACGGGCACCCGAGGTTACTTCCTATTAATAAAGAAAAATATATTTCTTTTTTATAGTTTATTCGTCTTCCGTTTTTGGACCGTGTCATTTGTGAGTGACCCAAAAGTGGGTGTTCGTCTCATTGAGATGAACCCACTTTTGGGTCACTCACAAATGACACGGTCTAAACCCGGAAGACGAATAAACTATAATTCTGACTCTGGCCGTGGAAGCCTACGATTTCATTATATTTCTTTTACTCTACATTCAGATGAGCATAAAATTAGACTAAGATTTATCGATACTATGAGATTTATGGGAACTTCACTTGATTAATTAGCATCACTTTTAGATACTTCAGAAAAGAAGATTTTAAAACAAGAATTTTATAGTGTAGATGATGATGCATTTAATTTATTAACTTAAGGAGTATTTTGCTATGATTATGTTGATAGTTTTAAAAAATTAAAAGAAACTTCTTTACCTACAATTAGTCATTTTTATAATAAATTATGTAATGAACATATTAGCGAAGAGAAGTATGCTCATGCGCAGACAGTTTGGTCTACATTTGAATGTAAAAATTTGGGAGAGTATAGCGATTTGTATTTAAAAACAGATATTTTGCTTCTGGCTGATGTATTTGAACAATTTAGACAAAAATGTAGGAATACATACCATTTAGATCCTGCATGGTATTATACAATACCAGGTTATATATGGTATTGTATGCTTAGGTATACAAAACGTAGATTAGAGATATTAAAATATGTGGATATGATTTTGTTTATTGAAAAAGACATAAGAGGCGGAATATCTGTATGTAGTAACCGATTTTCGGAAGCTAACAATAAGTACATGTCAATATATGACCCCACACAGCCCCCAAGTACATCATGTATTTAGATGTAAATAATATCTACGGTTGGGCTATGAGTGAATATTTACCTTTTGGCGGATTTAAGTGGATTGAAGATGTTACCAAATTTGGTATTACATCTAAATCCACTAATCCTTCCGAGGATTATATTGATATTATGTCAATACCAAATGGTGCGAAGGAAGGCTATTTCTTTCAAGTTGACTTAGAGTATCCACGTGAATTACATGACAAACATAGAGATTTTCTATTTGTCGCCGAACACCTTATTCCTCCCGGTTCAAAACTACCAAAATTATTACCAACTCTTTTTAATAAGTCAAAATATATTATTCATTATAGAAATTTAAAGCAGGCTTTATCCAACTGATTAATTTGAACTAAAATACATAAAGTTTGGAAATTTAATCAACAAAACAGCTAAACAAGGAAAACATTGATTGTGACATTCGAAATTTAGGTATAACCAAAAAAACATAAGGTGTAAAATATAATGTAGTCAAAAATATAATCACATTTAAAGATTTTGAAAATTGTTTAAAATAATATAACATTAAAAGAACAAACCAAAGGTGTATTCGGTCATATCAACATTCAGTATTTAGCATAGAGCAAACGAAAACAGCCGTAAGTCCTTATGATGATAAACGATATTTATTACCAGAGTCCTTTAAGACGCTTCCCTGGGGGCATTATAATGTACCATAATATTTTTTTATATTGCGGATGTCGCAAAAATAAATGGTATCTCTTGTATTGCAGAAACAAACGTTAAATATATCACAGTGAATATAGAGAAAAATATTTCATCATATTTGCGAATCCAGCAAAATCAATAATAAAATATTGAGTAATCTAGTCCAAAATACTCGCTGAGAATATTATCTGTCAAGGTGGTAAAAGGCAAATAGATATTTCCCTGAGGACATTATAATGCACCATATTTTTTATATTGCTGATGATGTCAAAGTTAGAAAACTTGTGCTTAAAATCAATATGTTGTCTTCATCTTCTTCTTCTTCTTCCTTCTAGTATATAGGCTTTAAAGTCTGTTTTTTCTTCGATATTAGCCTCATAAATTGTCGCACCATCTTTTTCTTGGTCTGTCAATACTTCTTCGTCCATTTGGTGACTTATCTCGTGCTATTCGTACTATTCTATCCTCTGCCATTCTACTGATATGTTCGTTCCACTCCTGTTTTCGTTTTGTCACCCATCCATTTATGTCATCTATATTGCATGCTCTTCTTATGTTTTCGCTTCTCTCCCTATCCAACAGACTTTTCCCTGATATTCGTCGGAGTATTTTCATCTTTGTTGTTTCTAGCAGTTGTCTCGTTTTAGATGTGTCAGGTCTTGTCTCCGCCGTGTATGTTAATATAGGTCTAATTGCTGCTTTATAGATTCTTGTTTTTGTGTCTTGTCTTAGGTGTTTGTTCTTTCAGATTGTGTCATTAAGAGAACCCGCCGCTTTACTTGCTTTTAAGCTTTGTTGTCGTACTTCTTCTTCAACATCTCCGTAACTAGTTATATCTATTCCCAAATATCTAAACATTGCTTCCTGCTTTATTATTTTCCCATCAATTTTGATTTTACACCGTAGTGGGTATTTAGATGTTGTCATACATTTGATTTTGTCTGCTGATATTATCATATTGTATTTCTTAGCTGTTGTATTGAAGATATGTGTTAATCTTTGAAGCTCGTCTTCTGTCTCGGCGATTAATGCGGCGTCGTCTGCATAACATAATATTTGGATTTCTTTGTTCCTCATTCTGTAGCCATGACCTTTACGTACTGCATACATTATTTCGTCCATTATTATATTAAAGAGAAGTGGGCTCAACGAGTCACCCTGTCTGACTCCGCTTTGTACTGGTATACACTGTGTTAGTTTTCCGTTTATCTTTGCCAGTATTTGATTTTGGAGGTAGATGTTTTCGATGGTTTGTATAATATTGATTGGTGTGTTTCTTTTATAGAGTAGGTGTAAGACGTCTTCGACTTGAATGTGATCGAAAGGCTTTGTCAGGTCTGTAAAACATATATATATATATATATATATATATATATATATATATGCTGGTTTATTGTACTCGATGGCCTTTTCTGTGATTTGTCTTAGTACAAATACGGCGTCTACGCAGGATCTTCCGGATCTGAATCCCTGTTGTTCATCTGATAAAGTTGTTAGTTTATTGATTTTATTGGTTAAGACTTTTGTGGTGAGTTTAAGTGCGGTGTTCAGTAGATTTATACCTCTATAATTGTTGGGGTCTTCTTTATCTCCTTTCTTGAACATTGGTATCATTATGCTGTTTCTCTATGTGTCTGGTATCTTGCAGTGCAATATTAGTTTTTGTATAAGTTTTGTCATTTTTAGGGTTATACTTTCATCTCCGTATTTAAGAAGCTCGTTGGTTATTACTGTCTGGTCCTGGCGACTTTCTATTTTTGAGCGAATTTATGGCTATTTCTACTTCTTGAAAACTGATTTCTATTTCGTGTCTTAATTGAGGTACGTTATTGTGTTGATTATTATTTTCCTTTGCTTTAAACAGTTCCGTCAGGTATCTTTCCCATTCGTTTGCTGGAATGTTATCGTATTCCTTTAGTTCTGCCATTTCTTTCCGTTGGTTTCTTATAAATCTCCATATTTGTTTTTGTGTACCGTAGAAGTCGCTTTCCATCCTTTTTTTAAAATTGTTTCCAGTGTTCATTTTTTGTTCTTCTTACCAACTGCTTTGTTTTAATTTCGTATTCTTCTATAGTTGTCTCTAGACTCTGGGATATTTGATGTTTTGCACTTCATTCAATATGTTGTAATATTGTCAATCTAACAAACTTCATTAAATATTCACCACTACCATGGATATTGACTAAAACGATTGCAAATAATTATTCCGATTATAAATGGAATATACTAAACGAGCAAGCCTCTAACGGACCTTTTGCCGACATTCAGTTTGTTGACTGTTTAAATATAATGTCACCACGAATGAGAAATGCAGTTTTATCAGCCAATGAATCTGATCATGAGTATGATGATAATGAAAAGTGTGTATGGAATTATTTTTATAGAATCACTAATTATAATATTAATGTTTGTAAAAATTGTTTTAAAAAGTTCAAATTAGCTCATCAAAAATCGTTACGTACAGTATTTGAACATTATCATATTGTTTTTGAGAGTAGGTTAATTCTATCAGAAGTATATCAAAATGTTTTATTGGTGTCATAGTTGTTTTAAACAGGTTTTATTTAAAATTAAAGAAATGGAATCATGTATATATTCACTACACCATGCATCTCCACAAAAACATAGATTTATTGGTTCAGATGATAGTGATTCTAGCATAGATACTTTAATTGGATATTAAAAAATATGTATGGCTGTTGAAAAGACAAGATCACTCATTCTCGTTAATTTGTTGTATACAAATAAAATTACTTTATTGTACAATATTGTTTTTTTTCTTTACCCTTTTGAAAATATGAAAATAAAACCAAGTGTTACATAAGTACTATTTATTAACAACTAAAGTTATCCAAGTCATTTACAACTTTTTATACCAATATACATATTCTCTCATAGCTTGGCTTAACAAAGTATCTGGTGGAGAAATTTCACGAAACGCAGTTATAGCTTCAAATGGGCCATATAAACTAGTATCAGTACAAAAATTCTGTTGCATAAAATATATAACATTTGTATAATATGCAGGAAACTTTAAATTTTCCAATAACGATATGCGATGAGTCACTATACTGTGGTGTACTTGTAGAATTTGCGTGACATCATTTTCATCTAAATAGTATTCCACACCATGTTTTTCAATGACAGGGAACTTGATTGAATCCAATACCATTTGTCTTAACTTGCAGTAGTCACCACTTTGAAACTCAACAGGATAATACTCATCTGTATAGAAAAAATTATTCATCTTTTGTGTAAACAGTTTAATTATGTCACTCCACTCAAATTTGTCTATACTAATTCTTCGAACATCGAATAGTTCTTCCTTTATGGCATGTTGACATAAAATGACGGATGTCGTAAAATGTCTAGCTGGAGATAGACCAACTTTAATTATGTAATTATCTAATGGAAAGAAGGCTTCTAACAAGTAGCATGGTTCTTTCTTCGCAGCTTCTTCGAATTTTGCTAAAACTCGGTCTAGGTCGGCAACATAATTGATTTCACTTGATGATGAATCATCGAATACCACCATATTACTTGATGAACTATAACCACTACCTTGAGAGTTCATGTTGAACTAGCTGAAAGCGATGTGAACTAACTGAGAGCGAGGTTGCTGAGGAACCTTTTATATTTTTCCCTCCACTTCAAGGTATTATTCGTATGTAGCGTATTAAAAAATACTAAACCACATCTTTTCACCAATACTTTTTCAATTAAGTAAATGTCTGTATTTTTTGTTTTCTGTAATTCTTCTTCGTAGAATGCTCCTCTGATAGGCGCTCCAGTCATATCTTCAATGTTGTGGGATTTGTTATTTTAATTTTAGTTATTTTAAATAATTCTGTTGGCCAATTTGGCTTATATCCCTTATCAAAAAGGTGTTTATATTTACTAATGCGAACCATATCACCAACTTTCAATTTTCTTGGACCTGAAAATTTCAAGTGAGTGTAATATTTTCGTAAAATTTCTTTTTAGTTAGATTTATTAACATCAATAGGTCTAAGTTGAATTTTGCCGTGTTTCGTATTATTGTAGTCTTTTGTAATCTAAGACAAGATATCTATCCATTTGTAAGTACCATTAAGACTAAAATACTTGTGAAGTTTTCCCTTTAATGTTCTAATAATTCGTTCACACATGACTGTTTTTTTAACACTAAAGGTATTATAGTGATTAATATCATGCTTTCTTATGAGATTTTAAAACTTGGAATTAAAAAATTGTGTGCTTTATTCTGTTTGTAAATTTTTCGGAAGTCGCCGAGTATGACTTAAAATATTGTAACGTGATTTAAATAAAACGAGCGGTTCGAATTTATATAAATATATTTATTTATAACTTTACAGTTCGATACTATCTTATCAACTAAAACTAACTCCTAAGATCGTTACATATATATACCAAAGTTACTATTTTCTAGAAAGTTCCCACCTCTAGGCGTATACGTGACCGATCGTTCTCTTGCCTTCGAGGGATCTATCCATCGATGATTCTCGATGCCGAGATGCTTCGAGATGCAACCGTTAGACGGGCCGCGCTGAATGCATGTTCGTAACACTGCTCCCCTCTTAGATCTGAGCGTCCCGATCAGCAACTCTATATGTAGGCCCAGGATGGCGGAATCTACAGGACTCTCCAGCTCTGCATGCACCCCTCAGAAAGAA